GCTAAGAATAATTGGATTCGGTAGTTTTGTATAATGGACACTTCTCTACAAAGTGTGATATTGAATTAAGCTGTAGCTTTTATTCAAGTGAAGCTACAAGTATTTTTTTAAAAACCTCTTTTCAACGTAAAACACTTTTTGGTCAGAGAATATTCAAGGTAAACGAAAATTGAGGTGTCTTATCGAAAGACTTCAAATAGTGAATTTTTTAGAGTAACTTCTGATCTACAAGCTGATATATAAATAAAGATTCTAATTTTTTAGGCTTTTCAAAGATTATTCTATTATTTTCGAACAAAAAACTGAGACAAAATTTTAAAGTTCATATTCGAAAAGAGTACAAAATTCTGATTCTAACTCATCGAAAATGCGTTCCAATGGAACCACAATGAACTTGTTTATGAACCTTCCGATCATCTATTATTAGAAAGTTTTCATCATTTATATCTCAAAATAGAACATTAAAACTAGACCTCCACTCGAGCGAAGCTCGAGTAGATAAGGCGGCTGACTGTACGAGCCCGAAAAATATCAAAATAGGAGTGTATATGACATCTGCTATTTCAAAATCGTAGCCGTCCCTAGAGAAAATCATAATGAATTTAAGTCGGATTCAGCTGTGTTCACTCAGCTGATAAGTGAGAAATAATGAATGTGATCAACTATCGCCATATAAGGAAACATTCAGCTGTTCATTATCGTATTGCTTATTTCATTTATATCAGCCATGGTCAGCTTTTCTTGATTGCTCGAGACTCTTTCTTGGATGAATTTAAGTCACACAAGACTATAATTAAATTGTATATGCATTTAACATCTGAGATATTAATGGTTGTTTCAGGTTGAATCATACATTACCATATAAGGAAACTATCAGCTGGTAATTATCGTTTTACATATATTTATTATCTCCCGAACGGAATGGAATTTTGGAAAACGGATTTCAGATGTGCACTCGTCACGTTCTCACGATCTCAGCAAACCTTTTTCCAGTTCAAAAAGATGTTCAGGTACTGAGAACGAGTGGCTGACTTGATTCGTGACTCATGTGTTGAGAAGAAGAAGAAGAAGAAGAAGAAGAAGAATTTGCCATGGCAACTAACCGAGTGAAAAGCAATAAGTCGGCAGACTGCACTTCGTGCAGTCAGCCGCCTTAAAAAAAATCGATGAAACTTAGCTTTATTTGAGCAATGTTTCAAGTCGAAGTCCGATATTTTTTCAGACAACCAAACTCTATTAGACTTTTACATTACACTAAAAATCATTAAATCTGAATAGGACTTCAACATTTTTTGTAGTTGATAAGTTCCTAAGCTCATATAAAAAAGATTACCCAACTCAATAAGTTTATAGCGGATACGATCATTTGTAAATTATATCTGTAACTCTTGTATTCAAGGAATGATAAAAGTAATGCAAAGAATCTCTCGTCATTTTCGAACATAATGCGATAAATTTTAATTCATTTCTTAAATTATCATATTCTTAATTAATTCTTACTCTATATTAGCAATATCTGTTCGTTGATTATCACCAAGTGCTCGAAAATAATAATGTTCATCAGGTGAAACAAAATATTCATCATTTGTTGTTCGTGCACATCGATGAATAAGTTTATTAAATGGTAAAGTTCTAAATTGACATATATAAATATATATATACATAGAATTATAATAAAAGATTTGTAGTAAGAAAAAAAATCCATACTCATAAGTAAAATTTTTTCGAACAAAATCCATCATATCATCTTGTGAAACATGTATTCTCACTGGTTTTGAACCAATTTTTGATGCTAAATAATCACTTGTCCATTTTTCTTGACATGCACCAATATCAAATTTATGTAGAATAAATGGATATCGCTTAAACAAAATTAAATTAATCTTATTAATAGAATAAAAAATTTTATGCATGAATTCTTTACAATGTTTATTTTATTCTCATCCGAAATAAACCAATATAGTCATAATTTCAAATATGATTTGCTATTAGAAAGTAAATTTAAAAAAATAAAAATATTTCAGCTTTATGATCTCAAGAAATCAAAGATATGTAATTCTCATTCGTAAACTAAACCAATACGTCGACCAAGTTGATTTAACTTGAACTTCTTTTATTTGCACTTGCAAAGGATAGTCCTTAATAGATCAACACTATTTTCAATGGCATTTTGTTCATAATTATTCTATGAAAAACTCTAAAAGAATTTGTATTGATGAGAATTCCTTGACCGGCTTACTGATTTTTCAATCTGAAATTTAGCCTCATTAGAACATTCTAAAGGTTTCAATGCAAAAAAAAAGAAACCATTTTTCTTGTCAAAATATTATTTTTAAAACTTATCTGATAATGTAGAAACATCAAGTTTATTAACAATTTAATATCACGAAAAGGAAACATTTTGTTTTAATGCAAATTTTACAGTGTTTTTAGTGATTAGAAAAATAATATATACAACACCTTGAAAAAAAATAGTTACAATATGAATTGTAAATATATCGTCATTATAAAAACAAATAATTACATATTCTGAAAGTGTTTGAAGTTATCTATCATCCAATGTATTTATATGTTAATTTACAATTATGTACTACAAAAGTAAATTGAGTGTAATGAAAGCATACTTATTATTAGATTTCTATAAATTTTATTTTGTCACTATTAGGAAAATTAGTTTGTAAAATTTTTCATTACGATAGAATAAAAAAATAAGGTGTATAATTCTGATTGAGTTTTAAGTTCACTATTAGCATATATTTATTTATTTATTACAATAAATTCAAAATAGCTGAAAAATATACAGAATGATAATTTTCAGCTCTTCCAGAGTATATTTTTAATTTTTTTTTTTAAAAAGGTAATTCTATACTGATGAAAAATTTTATAAACTAATTTTGATGATAGTAATAAAATAAAGCCCGTAGGAACCTCGTAATGAGAGTGCTTTCATTACATTCAATTTCTTTTCCTAGAGCTAATTTTTATATATTACATGTATATTAAGTTACCCTAGATGCTTTGAAAAAATCAACACTAGAAATCTTTATTCAGAGGAGTTATGAATAAAAAAAGAACTAGTGTTAGTGACTTATCGACTTTGACTTCATGCATTTTAGTTTTAAAAAAAAATTCCAAATTGAGGCAAAACTAAAGAGTTCATTCTGTAGACAATTTCTAATGCTACAAATTCTCTATCCGAAGTTTTTTCTGAACATGTCTAGATTTTTCAACATCATCAATTTACTTTTCGTTAGTGACGTGACGAAGTATGAATATACAAACGAAAAAAAAATGCTCTTATAACCGAATGAGTAGTTCGATACCAATTCCAGTCAGTACAATTGTTGTTGTGGGGCTTGATGAAATCTCTAGAAAGCCGGTTTTTAAGTCTGATCTTGCTGAAAATTTTATTATAGATACGATTCATTCAATACGTAGAGCCTATCCTGAACTTTCGGATGTTCTTTTTTTTCTCGTATGATTAGAGAGATATTCGCTAATTACTTTTTAATTAATAGCTAGCTGAAAAAGCCAACAATTTCACTTAATTCATTGTTTGCTAAAGTAAATCATACATAAAATTTATTATTACTTTGTTCTCATCTTGAACAATATCAATAGCTTCATCGAGGCTGTCAGTTTCATAAATAGTTGGCATCTACAATCAGTATGTATTTTACTTTAAATAGATTCTTCAAATATTATTTTAAATTTTCATTTGATATTTAAAAAACATTAGACAAAACAAATATATAAATATTTTATTTTATTAGAAAATAAATACAATTATGTATGTATACAATAAAAAAATTTTTGTCTTCTGTTATTAATTTTAAATTTGTATAAATAATTCGATTAGTTTTACTATCACATATTTCTTTAGAGTTTTTTCTTTTTGTGCACTAAAAAAAATGAATGCTTAACATTTCAAGAATAATATGCATGCATCAATTCAAGTGTTATTCTTTGAAGTTCATATTCAATTGGCTCTTTCTCTCTCCCTCTCTTTCATATTTGCACATCATTGAAGTAGAAATGATTAAATTTTATTTATATTCTTATTGATTAATTTGAGTACTTATAAGAATATCTCGCTTGAGTATTATTCACTGATGTATAGTTCCATTTATTAACAAAATATTGTTTTAAATACAATCTGAAAACAATCAATTAGCCTTTTCAGATTATTTAATATAATGGCTTATTTTTTTTTTCTTCTTCTTCTTCAATTAGAATTATTAATAACACTTAAGAAAGTAAATAACTCGACATATGCCACAAGTTTCTGTGACAAAAAGAAAGAAACAAAACAAAAAAAAAAAAAAAGAAACACGCAAAAGAGAGAGAAAAAAACGAAAAATAACAACAACGAAAAGAAAATGCAATATCCAACAGCCAAAAAATAGAAACAATGTATACGTGTATGAATTAGCACCATCAGTGAATATATTATGAAAAAAACAAAACACGAAGTTAAATATTCTATTTGAACAACACTGTTCTTCTGTGGGAGAATATTAATGTGCATGTCTACAACTGTTCGAAGAGAATAAGACTCTTCTCTATTGCACACTCACACAGGTATTTCTATATACACAAAAAAAATATACACATATGCATAACAGGCCAGTGTCTTTCTTTGTGTAAATATATTTGTTAAAACGAATAGGAAATGTTCTATTGAATTAATGCATAAAATAATAAAATAAAACAAACCACATTAAGGAATGCTAAGATAACTAATATATTATTTGCATAGATTATTGGTTTTTTTTGTTTTGTTCTTGAAATGTTATATGTGCAAAAAACTAAGCAAAATCAAAAAAGAAAACGAAACAACGTATGCACACATATAAATAAGATGAAAATAAGCCTACTTAATAATAAGAATAATTGTTGTTTAAAATCAACGTAAAAATGACAAAAAGAAAGACAATAGGGCACTGTATGATAAAGAATAAGAAAAGGAAAAAAAAGATCACACAGAAAAAATGAATTTTCTAAATAATTGCTCGTTGATGATGACTTTCCTGCAACGCAGGTATAACATCATCAACTGATGCAAGTCGTTCGAATATAGGGATAAGTGTGAGCAATTCTGTATCTTGCATATCATCAAACCAACTGTGTACAGGGACCTTTTTTAGATGAAAATAAAAAGAATTTTAATTAAAATATCTGTTTTAACTATTTCTTTTATTTTAACATTACGGCATTATCTTGATGAAATAAATAGGACAATGGTGAATTATCAATAATGATTACTTTTCGAATATTTCGACCTAATCGACTAAGATCTTTTATATAGTTTCCTAAACGAAAGCAACAATCTTTTTTTTTTGCTTTTAAGTTTTTCTTTTAAATCATATTTACCATTATAATATGTACAAGACTCACGAAAAAGTCTTGAACGAAATATGTGTTGTGGATCAAGTAAATCAGCTACAGGATCAGCATACTTTAAAAAAAAACAATATTAAAATATTTAACAAACAGAAAAAAAACGAAAAAATTACTTTTGCTAAACTAGCTGTAAATAAAACACATTCATATAATTCTCCAACACGACGTAAAAATTCATCAACATGTGGTCTTTTTGTAACATAAATCTAAAGAAAAATATTTATATTATTAAGAGAATAATATATTTAATCAATAATGTTTATTTATAGATTTGACATATCATTTTTCTTTTGTAAATCATATCTAATTGAGAATAAATCTTTTTTTTATTCTTAAATTGTTCTATTCTGACATTAAGTGCAATACATTAGTTTTATATTTTATGGATATATATATATAGAAATAATTAAGGACCAGTGAAAAAAATGTGTTATAAAGGAAAGGAAAATTAAGATTTTTTCTTTGATACAATATAATGCTGAAGAGAACATATTTTTTTAATTTAATAGTCAGTTGATGAGAACGAGATTTAATTTAGATAATGATTCACTATTTCAAGCTTCTGTTCACTAAATAGGCTGTCTGACAAAATTTAAAATACAGAAATTTTTATTATATATTGAAAAAAAAAATTTTTATACGCAGTTTAACAATAGAAATAAGAATTAAATTCTCACAATTTTTTTTTCTCATTTTTATATATTGTGATATTAATTAGTCATCAATCATAGAATTATATCAAACATTAGATATTCCAAAATGAAAGACTATTCAAGTTGATTCGACAATTGCCTTCTAGTTAATCCTATGCCTTTTTTTTTCTTCCTATAATTAGATACTCATATTTTTCTCAACGGAAAAGGAGGAGTAAATGAGTTGATTTTAAAAAAAGAAAATCAAGATCATGTTTAATAATTTTTTTGAATAAGGATATATATATATATTAAACATACTTGATGTACTTGTCCATCAATTTCAACAGGAACAACAAAATCTGCATTAGATACAGGTCTAAATACTGAATGTACGAGTGTCTCATCAAGATCAATAACTAAACATATTTTTGTTTGTTCATTATCACGTAATATTGGTAATAAAAATTTTTCATTTGACTAGAAACAAAAAAGAAAAATAAATAATGAATTGTTTTTTTTTTGAATTAATTAAAATTTGTTTTTTTTTTTAGTAAAATTTTCAAAGAACATCTAATGACACCTTTTTGTTAATTTGTGTTTTTTTTTATTCAAATCATCCGATTATTTGTATATATAAATATACCTCTAAATGTGTGTTTCTCTCAGGATTCAGTGCAACACACTATAAATAAGATGAATAGAATAAAAAATTGAAAATTGTTTAATTTTTCTTTGCCATTTCAATTCACCTCATGAGCTGCAGGAGTAGTGGTTGTTGAAGAATATGCTGTTTTGGTTTGTTGACGTCGACAAGATCCACACAAACAACAGAATAATAAAGATATAATACGTTGTTTTCGACTTGAACGAGGTGCTAAAAAGAATTCTATGAACTTTTTTGTTGTTGTTGTTGTTTCGTTTATTAATTACCTATAGTTCCATTTGTTGTTTGAGAAGTTCCACTAGTTACAACTGTAGTTGTTAATGGCATTGATCGATCTTTATCATCATCTTTTGATACTTGAGTTATAATAGATGAGAAAGGTAAGTCTTTCGATGTTTTGCTCATGATAAAGTTATTTGAAGAAAAAAAAAAGAAAAATAATAGTAGGAAGTAGACGGTTATTTTTTTTTTTGTTTTGTTCTTGTATTTATTATAACGAGCTAGCCGTTGCTCGTCGGATGATCGAATAAGATTCGGCCATACGACATGAACTCTTAGAGAAATAATAATAAATGAGAACAATTGTGAAAAGGAGACACTCTTCGTCCCCGTTACAATCTATAAGAAACAATAAAAGTATAATATAGATGAGAATAAATAGAATTTTATTTGTTAGCTACGTGTATACACTACATATAAGGACAGGAAGTTTTCATATCCTATGTAAGTAATACAAACCATTATTAATTATCATATACCTTCACTTTTCCTTATATATGAATTGATTTCATTAGCGACCTCTTTTCTTATTTATTTGTTTATAATGTGAAAAAAAATATAATTAAAGTTAATGAAAATATTAATTATTTTTTATTTTTTAATTGGAATTAATTTTAATTTTTAATATTTTAAAATAAACAGATAAAACGATCAGATGATTAACATGAGTCATTTGTTTGTTTTTCTCTCTCTCTCTCTCTGATGAATGTCACTGTGGCTTCTCTTGGTACGCTTCATATCACTTTACAAATCATTAATATATAAGTCACGATTTATCTATTTTACGATACTAGAAAATATAATGAGAATCATCATATTGAGACCTTTTTACATATTAATGAAAGTATATGTCCTCGATATAAGGTTATCGATGCTTCTCGATTGTTTATTTCTCCATATGAATACAAATCATAGTTGTTCTTCGTTTTTTTTTTAAATAATATATAAATAATGAATTCATTCTAGATCGATTATATTATCCTTTCTTTTTTTTTTTTTTTTTGTTCTTCTATTTCTTTTTTTAAAATCGATAATGACTTATCCGAACAAAGAACTTCATGTTGCATGTAATTATTTATTACGATTAATAAAAGCACATGTAGAATTATCAAATGAACAAATAAATCTTTTTAAACATACTTTTCATGATATTTTATCGAAACGATTTGTTAATCATTGGTTTCCAGGTAAGATAAATGAATAGGATTTTAATTTTTAAAATTATATTTTATATTTTAGCAACACCAAATCGTGGTAGTGCATATCGATGTTTACAAACTAAACATTGGAAAGATCCTGTTCTAAAATCTATTGCCGAACGTTCTTGTTTACCACTTCACCGTTATCTACCAGCCATATTCACTATGTGGATTGGTAAATTTTTTTTTTTTAAGAACAATATTCTCATGAGTATAGATTAAAACTGAGATATGAAAAGATTATATTGGAGTAATAAGTAGTATTTACAACAAATGTGAGTTTAATTCTTTATCCTTGATTTTTTAAATGAATGTCTTGGTAACAGAAAAATTGATTTTCAACTGAGTAGTCTCAACTTCTCTCTTATCAGTTAGAGTACGAAAAAAAATAGGGTTTACTATGCACATCACTAGAGATAAACCTCAGAATAGTTTATTAATAAATTCTCTAATAAAATTGGTTCTACACTGTAAAATACAGAGTGCCTACAATGAATTCATAAAAGATATTCTAGGAATGCTCATACGAATTCAGCATTGAATTTCTACTTTCTTGAAAACAAAAAAAATTGATATTCAAGTTTCGATTTTATGCAAGAAATCAAATCAAACTTCTATTATTCAGAAAATCAAGTATTTTCTAAATAATAGAAATTCAACAAATAATTGATAAAAGTTTGAAAGTGCTTTAGCTTATTTAAAGTCGATTTTCTACAAAATAGAATCTAAAAAATAAATTTACAGTATACACTACACATTTCTCCTACGAATCGTCTTAGAAATGTGGAGACGGCTATCTTATTTCGATTAGAAAATTTTGACCCCAATGAGCTTTACTCGACGATAAACCATGATTTAAAAGAAGTACTTAGGGCATACCAAAGGTTCTGACCACGACGTTTAAAGGATCTTTTCGGATAAGGGAACCTATTGAGAAATGAAAAAGTCGTCTATCAGTAAATTGACTCTAAGTCCTTCAAAGTTCTATGAAAATAAGATTTACTATATACCATCCGATGCGCCTCAAAAAGCTCTACAACATCAGATATTTAGTTTTTCATTTTCCAATAGGTCTCCTTGTCCGAAAAGATTCTTTAAATGCCATGACTAGAACTTTTGGTATGCTCTAAGTATTAAATTCCAACACGATCCATTTAAATCAGTATCAAAAAACGCATGTCTTTTATAAACATATCTATACAAAAATGTTATACATATATATATATCTTCTATAGATCCAGGTGAGGTAGCCGTTTGCTTTGGTGATGAAGGTACATGGTGTCCATTATATAAACATGATAGTGATGGTCAAATACATCAAGAATATAGCGATGGAGAAGAAACAGCTTCATCATTATCGTCTGATGATGATTTAGTTAGTTTAACAGAAAATGTTAAAACATTAAATGTAAATGATACACATATGCCATTAAAACAAAATATTGATTCAAATATTAGTCGTTCATCATCATCATCAATAGAAAGTAGTAGTCGTACATCAAGTCCTTTTTTTAATGCACAAATACAACCATTAAATAATTATCATTATTCAGGTAGAATTTTTTTTTTGGTTTTTTTTTTGTATGTACAATATTTTTTTTATATTAAATAGGGTCAAATTTGTATTCTTATCACTCTCTATCAAATGATTGGAATGAACAACAAAATATTTTTTGGCCACAACAACAATTCACCATGTCAGATTCGTTTTTATTATATAATCAAAGAGAAAATTCTTAAAAATAAATAAATAAAAAAAAAAAAAAAGAAATCATTTATCTTTCTATTGTGTATGTGTTGTCATTACATTTTTTCTTTTCTTCTTGTCTATATATACATATATATATTTATTCAAACATGTGTCCATATGTTCATCAGATCTGAAAAATGATTCTCTTTTATATAGATGTATTTGTATGACTGTTGTAACACTCCATCCAGCGTTATTCATCGTCTTTTTTTTTTGTTATATCTTTTTTTTTCTCATTTGTCTGTCATAAGAAAACAAAAACATAAAAAATTCTAGTTCTTTTATGGTTTATATTCACAATACACAGTTATTGCGTAAATTATGAATCACTTGACATACGTAAAAAAAAAACAAGGACAGAAAGAAAGAACCAGAAGATAAGTAGTGCATATTATGACATCATTACATAGAAATATGTACTTACGCAAGATATTTCAGTTTTATAAATTGATGTTTTTTTTGTCTGTAGATTTTTATATTTCTTAATAACTTACTTCGGTAACTATCATGCCCAAGGAAACAAACGACAGTTCATCGTCGACTGCAGTAATGTCTCCATCAACGACGACATGTCCTTGGAAAAAAACAGAAACAGTACCTGTTTCAACTTCATTTCAAGAACTTATGGATAGTGATTTAGCAGCTAAATTACAAAATGAAGAAGATGAAAAATTTGCGCATGAAACGCGGTAATGAAACCGAATTAAATTATTTTAAATATATATATTCTATTCTTTTCATAGTCGTCATTCAAAAACACCAATTGAAACAGAAATTTCCGTATTCACTGAAGAAAATGATGATGATGATCATCATCATCCTATTGATCCATCCTCATTAGAAGAAAGTCATGATAATGATTATTTATTAGCTTTAATGCTTCAACATGAATATACTAATGAATTTAATGGAATGATGAAAAAATATGAATCAACTGTTAATCGTAATAGTAAAGGTAGAAAAATTTTTTTTTTCAATTTATTAAAATTAAATTTCTTAATTTCAGTTAAAGTTTCCATGAAAAATTTTATGTTATTACCTGCATCAACATCTAATCAAATTGATACAAATTATGATGATGATGATGATATCGAAGAAATGAAAGAAGCATTCAGTGATTGTGAAAAAGGTATTTTTCGTTTATTATTATTACTATTATTTAAAAAATATATATATATTTTTTTTTCTAATAAAGATCATCCAATGCCATCATTTAATCGTCGAGGTACAAGTGGTAAAGGTGCATCATTAGTAACAAAACATAATGCTGAATTATGTGGTAAACGTAATGTAGCACGTGTCATGAATACATTTCCACCTGAATTTGATACGGGAAATGTTTTAAATGAAATGCAATTATCAAATCGTGTTTATAATCAGCTTAAATTACATTCCTATGCTGAAGAAAAACGTATGAATCGTTTACATGATAAAGTTGAAAAAGCTACAGCTGTAAATAATTTTTTTTTTATTGTTGTTTATTTTTCAAAAAAAAAATGAAACTATATTCTTTATTTAATAGAGTTTAGCATTTGATCCAAAAACACGTATTATTTTATATAAATTATTAAATGCTCGTATACTTGATGAAATTGGTGCAATTATTGCAACAGGTAAAGAATCAATTGTTTTATATGGTAAAGGTGGTGACACAGAACAACATGAAATACCATCTGAAGTAGCAATTAAAGTATGTAGGAAAAAAAGAAGATGTCACCGGATAAGATAGTAAATCTGCTACCCACTCAGGTTTTACTTTTAATACAGTTAGAGCATGAAATCTTGCACATTTATTTTTTGTTTTGTTGAATGCAAAAAAAAAACAATATTGAGAACTCAATAATCTTAGGGAGTTATCAGTTTTGGTTGCTTTTGAGAATAACTATGATGACTACAGTCGATCAAACCCAAGAATTTTTGGACCCAAACTCAATTGATTAAAATTTGTTGACCCCGGACTTCGGATCAGACCGATCAAAATTCTTGAATTCGGACCTAATTTATTGACCTTTTATGAGTAGAGCCTATCGGATCCAAGGATCTCTGGCCCCGGACAGCTCTAATAGTGACCGTATTTTATTATCTTTTACATACTCAATATGAAATTTAATAGTGTAGATCAATGTAGATTTTCATATTTTACAAAATGACATATCAATTAGTTTATGCATGGTTAGACATTCCACTTGTATGATTCAACATAATCTAAGATAGAAATTAATAGTAAATAGGATCACTATAGCAATTTATCGAGCATGAAAAAAACCGGGTCTGCCTATGCTATTAGTTTTCATGCTGGGTTTATATTCACGAAAACTATTTGTTTTTGCATTCAGCAAAAGTACAAAATAAATAGACAGAAACGTGCAGAATTTCATGTTCTGTCTTTCTATTCTATTGAAAATGATATCTAAGGACGTGACAGATTTCCGATCTTATCCGGCGGTATCTTTTTATAAATACTTTTTGTTAATTATTATTGTTATTATTATTATTAGATTTTTAAAACAACATTAAATGAATTTCATACACGAGAAAAATATCTACGAGAAGATTATCGATTTAAAAATCGTTATAAAAGTCTTAATCCAAGAAAAATTGTTAAATTATGGGCAGAAAAAGTAATTCAAAAAAAAAAATTTTATTTGAATTAATTCTATAGAAAAAAAAACAAACGATGTTTTTTTGTCTTTTTATTATTTTATAGGAAATGTTTAATTTACAACGTCTTCAACGTAGTGGAATACCTTGTCCAACACCTGTTTTACTTAAAAAACATGTTCTATTTCTTTCATTTATTGGTAAAGATGGCGTACCAGCAGAACGTCTTCGAGATGCTATTCTATCATCAGAAGAACTTGCTAATGCCTATCAACAATGTTTAAATGTAAGATTAATAATTTTTCTAATTATTATTGAATATCAATAAAAAACCATTTGATTTATCTCAGATTTAAAAAAACGTGTTTATTTTATTTTTTATTTTTTTGTTTAGCTACTCAAACGTCTCTATCATGAATGTAAATTAATTCATGCTGATTTTAGTGAATATAATTTATTATGGTTTGATAATATAGTACATGTCATAGATGTAGCACAATCAGTTGAACCTTATCATCTAAATGCATATACATATTTACTTCGTGATTGTACAAATCTTTCAACATTTTTTAGTCGACGATCACTTAATGAATATGTTTTAACACCTGAAGAAACATTTAATTATGTAACTGGTCTTGCATTTGATAAACAGGGACAAGAATTTCTTAATGAAGTACAAGCATATGAAAAAAATATTCGTTTACAAAGTGAAGCAATAAAAGAAAAAGAAAATTTTTCATTTGATTATTTCTTTAATCAAGCAAAAAAATTAAATATCGATGATGATGATGATTCTTCATCGGATGAAGAAGATATTGAGAAAAATAACGATGATGATGATGATGATGATGATGAAAATTATGTAGATTTAACAAGTGGTGATGAATCTATGACAAAATCTTCGCTATCAAAACCAATGAAATTACCATCACGAAAAATGAAACTTTCTAAACATTCACCGTAATTTTGTTTGTTTTTTCTATGTGGGCTTTTGGTTGTACACACAGGTTTTTCTTTTTGTTCTATTGTTAACCTATTCTTAAGCATAAAGCATAGGCATATATAAATATACAACTTTTCTTTTTTTTTTTTACAAATATTCTTTTCTTTTGATAAGTAAAGAAAAACAACACAATCGATCACGAGCGGCTTTATTAGTCATTTACTGATATGCGTAGATCGTTTTTCATTTCATACAGTAAAAAAAAAAATAATGACTTTTTTTTTGCTTTATATTTTCAAACTTCTGTTATTTCGTAAGACAAGTAATCGTTTTGGACTCTTTTATTATATAGAATATTTTATTCTTACATTTCTTCTGATTATCAAATAAAAGTTTTATTGGATATAATATAAACCACAAGAAAAATACAACTCGTAGAGTCTAACCTCGAAACAAACAAGTAATGGTATTGGCCGATCGTAATCACGAATGATAGTTCACGAATATATAATGGACAATAAGATAGTCCTTACAGTTTCTTAAAACGATATTGTTTTTTTTTTACAGTAAATATGTGAAATCAATTCTCGATATTTATTTTTCAGATTATTAAATTCCGTATTTCTTTTTTGTTTTTGCAAATATAAAATGTCGGATCAAGCATCATCAACTGATACATCTGGCTCAACTGAACTTAAAGCTGGTCATGCTCCAGCTAGTAAGAATTAAAATTATTTCGATTTCAGTTTGTTTTAATTATGAGTTTATTTTTTGTTTAAATAGCTAAAGTAGCTGGTATGCGTGTCGGAGCACCTCGACAACGACAAACATCACATGGTGAAGATAAGAATGCTGCTGCTACTGCAACAGCTACTGATGATAATACAGAAAAGGTTCAAGAATCCTCAGGTGATAATACAACTGGAAGCGGTGCTACTAATGAAACGACTGCTGAAGATGTTAATAATGAAGAGACTACAAGGTGAATGTGCAGAATATTGAACATATTATTATAATCGAATTTTTTTTAGCGCTGTTGCTAATCGGGCAGCTGGTGAAATGGTTGCAGGAGTATTTGTACCAGTATGTAAAAATTCGATAATGAATCTTTTCATTCTATAATCAAAAAAAGTCTTCTTTTGGGATTTTTATATACAGAAATTTTATTTTGAGAAAAATATATTTTCTCAATCTATCTTCATAATATTTTTTTTTGGAAACAATTGATATACGAAAAATAAATGGATTTAAGATGTTGATATTATTGAATAAGCAAAAGTATATATAAGAAGAAATTTTGTTGAATAGTCATTCTTTTTCTCGAAATTTAACAAATAGAACATTAACATTTGAGTCAATTAGATTCTTTCCTAATCAATAAAATTGCATGTTTCGTTTATTTTTTCGGCAGCTTCCAAATAGTATTTTTCTTTTTCAGTATATATTGAGATAATACTTTAAATCTTGATTATTTCATTAAGTGTCACACAAACATAACACAGATTAATTGTTCAACACTATAGTTTTTCTTCTCTTATAGTTAAAATATATTACTGAATTGACTAACTCTTTATTAGAAGATTTATTATAAAATATAATTGATTTATTTAGATTGAAAAGGCATTTCCAACTGAAGCTGTGAAACATATTCATGATAAACCTGGTACACATCCTAAACATGAAATTCATACTCATACAAAACAAAATGACCAAAAATTTATTAATCAACCACGCAAGCAATAAATATTTGTGCAAGAAACAACAATGACAACAACAAGAATATAAGTTAAAAAATTTTCTCGTTTTCATTTCATGTTATTTAAAGGTTTTGGTTTACTTTTTCGTTTTGTTTTTTTGTTGTTTAAAAGAAAAAACAAACATATATTAATAAATATCCTCGCATTAGCACAAGAACGATAAAAGAAAAAAAAAGAAAAATGTATTTTACTTTATTTGAAGATTTTATTTAAAAAGATAAAATAGAAAGAAATGAACGACGAAATTGATATATTATTAATAATCGAGCTACAAATTTCATTTCTATTGTTTACTTGAAACATCTGAGTATGAAGAATAAAAAGGTAGATGATCCAATTTTTTTCTTTCTTTATTGTCTTCTATATAATCAGTTATAATAATTTTACTAAGAGATGACGTCAATATATATATATAGATGCGCACCTTTGATGTTGACAAGTAGAAAAGAAACAACTTCGTTTGTATTTATTTATAATGTAACATGAGATAGAGGTAAGTTTTATAGAATATCAACTTATTTCTTGTCCTTCTCGAAAAAAGAAAAACAATAAACGTTATGATAAATTCTTCAACTTTGAATTCGAGAACATTTTCATTTATATACATAAGTACTGTGAAAATTTTTATTGAAATATGTTTTTTTTCATGGCTGTTCAAAAATGGAAAAATAACAATTACAAAGGAATGTATTACTCATGATTTATCGTGTATTGATATTTATATAGGGATGGAACATAGATAATTGTTTATAATTTTAAAATATCAAGAAGCTAAAGATCAATCTCATAAACTTTGAAGAAGTATTTTAGTTCTAGTAATATTTTCTTAATAGTCAAGATTTTAAAATTTCTTTGTTTATTTTAATGTTTATTTTTTTTTCAGATAATGTTTTAAGAAGTATAAAAAAGAAAAAAAAACAAAAATGACAGATAAAAATAGACCGATTACAATAACATCTAATGGTGGAAAATCGTCATCAACACTTCCATTGAGTACTAGTCCATTACCAATTCATTCGTCAGTATTAACTCAACAATTTTCAGACATTATTCGACGTTATAAATATTATTGTCAACATATTCAACGATTACTTAAAGAAACAGAAAAATCTTATGATGAAATAAATGATACACGTGTTCTTGCACCTGGTATGAAGAATTATATGTTTTTATCTAAAAGACAAAGAATTTTTTTCTTTTAATTTTAATTCTTTAGAAAAAATGTCTAAAATACATTTATCAAAATCTGATCGTGAATATCTTGATGCATTAAAAACACGTCCATTAGCACTTATTATTTGTTCACAATCTTATAGTGGAAAATCACGTTTTGTTAATGAATTATTAAATGAACAATTATTACCTGAATCACCAATTATCGATAATAATGCTGTTGTACGAATGATTCGAATCAAGGTAGAGGTTCGTTTATAATATTTTCTGTTTATTTTAAACTATCAAATTTAGATTAAATGTCAAGAGTAGAGATATACCAGAATCATAATAAAGATACGCAGTTTCAGTAAACTGTTCATTAAGGTTTCAAGATTGAAGTCTTCGCCGTTTCTCCTATTAGATTTTTACAAGTTGTGGATCTTATCTTCATCTACACTCTCAAAGTAGATGTCTTATATAAAATAAATTCTTTTGTGTCATCTTATTTATCCTATCGAAGTTAGACTTTTAATGGGAAAGGAGGGACTTAAGAATCATCAATGAAATCTTCGATTAAGAAAATAGAACAGTATAGACGAACATAAGAAAATAAAAATGATATTTTAGAATAAAATTGTTTGCTTATTTTAATAAGAACACTGAAACTTCCTGTCGATAAATTTTATTAGAGAAAAATGATATATCAATAAAATTTATTTCAACGAGTAAGATTACAACTCTGAAATGTTCAAAAAATGTATATTTTAGGAATTTATTAGATTTAGTATAAATGATTCCTTATAGATCTGGAATAGAATAATTTGGTTACGTTTAAAAGTAAACATATTTTGAAACATTTAGATGTCATATATTGCTGGGTATTCGATCTGACTGCAAGACACTATTAGAAACATAAATCTAATCAGTTATCAATGAAAGCATCTTTATTAAATTAAAAAAATTCTCTTCTACATGATTTAATTACGCGATACTTAATTGCTATTAGTAAGACTCGATGAAACAATTCTACCAATAATTTCTTTCTATTTATGACTTATTGAAAATTTTTTGTTTACATAATTAATTTTTATCAATATAGAATCATCCAATACATGGTGCTAGTTTCAGTATATCTGGTTCATTTGAACTTATAAATGCTGATATTATGTATAAAGCTGTATCATGGGCAACAGTACCTCGTGATGATCTAATTGTAAATGGTACAAATGAACATAATTCCTTATTAAATAATGATGATAATTTAACTGATGATTATGAACAACAAGAAACAGCATCACTTGAAATACGTAAACCATTAGAATTACTTAGTGATGATTTACAAATAGTTATAACACCAAGTAATCAAAATTTAAATATGAAACAAATATATGTGCAAATAACAGAAAATATTGTACCAATATTTATTTATATTATTGATCAAGAAATATTATCACCTAATGATATTGATGAATTAAGATTTTTTCGTTCGATTGTACCTAATGAACCTATTTTATTTATTCGTATTGATCAATCTGATAAGTAAATGAAATTAATTATTTAATTTTAAATTTCTATTTATTTATTTATTTATTTATTTAATAGTTCATCGAATATGAGTGAAGCACCATGTGTTCAAACATTCAGGTAAATCAATTGTCTAATATAGATTCTCAAATATTGATAACTCAATTCATGCGACAAAAGTTTTGCGATAATTTATTTCACTAGAAAACAAAATAATAAAATAATAATAACATGTTTCAAAAGGTACAATAGAGTGTACTACAAGAATTAACTATATTGATCTATAATCAGTTCACTATCGTGTATTTTTTCCACTGAATGAAGAATTTGAAGTTCTTTTTACATCCTTCTTGAACTTTTTGATCTGCATGAGAGCTAGCCTCATCCTGCTGGAAGCACAATTTTTGTTGTGTCTAAATAGCCGATCATCTTTCCTTTTATAAAATAGTTATCAGCCCAAACAATGTCATTTTTTGGATTAAAAATAATCGTCTTTTTGTAAATATTTTTTCATCAGTAAACATTATTGTTTCCAATTTATCACGAGTGATGTCCTTCCTAATCTATTGACAACATATTTTTCTTATTGGTTTTTTGACCTTTTAATTTTTGAACATTAATCTTTCGATGACATTTTTTTTTTGTATAAATCATTATTGAGCACTCGCTTGATGGTTCCAGTATTACTAACTATTGTTCGTAAACTTTTTCCGAGAATATTGGAATCAAGTTGTTTTTTTCATCAAATTGATAAGTCGTTTTGTACGACTAGTTCTTGATCTTCCTGATTTTGCTTTAATACCTATTGAACCAGTTTATTTATACCAACATACCCAATGATCATTTGTACTTCGATAAGATCTTATTTGCCCATAATTTTTCATATTCTGGAACTTTTTTTCCCATTTTCATAGTGGGAAATAGCTACATCTCACAGATCGTCACTTTCAAATAAAAGAAAGTAACAAAAAAGAAAATAACAAACTATCAGATGTTAGTGTCTACCATAGATGTTCATCATGGCTGAGAATCTGCCGCGATCCTAGGAGGGAGAACGTTCCCATGTCGCTGCCGCGCCACCACGAACATCTCTGCTATTTACTAAAGTGATATAAAATAAACGAGTTATTGCAACAAAGGAATGGTACACACAAGGACTTTTTAAAATGTCGCAAAACTTTTGTTGCATCCAACATCAATAACGTCTCGTTTTAATAATATGAGCAATTTCCTTATTGCATTTCTAGGGAATTAAGTTAAAAGATGTTGAAGAAATATGTATATCTTAAAATAGATAGAATAAAAGAATCTTCCTATGATTAGCAACAGCAAGTACATTGTATTTCATATTTTAATCCTGCAGAAATTGCGCTCTTTTTTTTATAGATATTCTATGAAAATTTGAATCATTCTTTGTCACGGATAGAAATTTAGAATTTATGATTAACTATATGTCGTGATATAATTGAAGATTTTTCATTTTGAAATTATTTTATATTATTTACAAAATTTCATATTTTAGACAACTATGTGATCTTGGTTTTCTATCATTTTTGAATACAGAATCTAGTGATAATACATCAGACACAACGCCTCTTTTTCAAAGTGATATGATCGATAATGGTTTAACTAATTTTACACTTTTTCTTAATTATGTTCTTAAACATATTGATCGATTAACTATTCGAGCTGGTAATAGAAAACTTTCTTTTATGAATCTTTTTTTAAATATATTATTACCATTATTATAGTGGGTATTTTACAACGATCACATGAATTATGTTTAGATCTTTTTAATGATAGTGCCTTTGATATGGCTAGGTAAATAAAAGAATTTTAGATGATTCTTTTCTTTTCTTTTCTTTTCTTTTCTTTATAAATATAAAAATATTTTGTAGAGATATACTTATCACACCTAAACGCTTGAGTTATGCACGTGAAAAAGAAAAGAATCTTTATGAATCATTAATTGCATTAACAAATTCTAAACAAAATGAAATTCAAAAATTAATTTTACAAGCTGTTGATGAAATGCATGAAGTACTAGCAGATGAAGCTTGTTCACTTGAAATTCCAGGTATTTTATTTCAAAATAAAAATAAATAAATAAAATTATGTTAAATATTTTCAATTTTAGGTATCGAACTTACCGATCAATTAACTGTTAAAAATGCACGAGATTTAAAAAAATGTACAAGTGCTATACAAGAACAAATTCTTGTACGATTAAATGAAACAATAGCAAATAAATTATTAGATTCAATTAATGTTTTACATGATAATTATATTGGAACATTAACACGTTGT